TATATATATATATATATATATAAACTAGTTGAATTAGCTATATATATATATAAAACTTTACATATTACATATATATAACTTTATTCAATTTTATCAAGACTCTAGTAATTTGTTTGACATTAATCTCTGACGTTTAAAATTTTCTTCTTAAGTGGTTCCAGTTTTCGAGTGTGAACATTGAGATTTATATGAAAAATAGATTTTTAGTTTAATTTGTAATTTTTTTTTAGATTTGCAAGAAACAGTAGTATATAATATTTTGTATAGATTTTGTAAGATTTCTGGAAAAGAAAATATTAGGTATTAAATTTTACTGAAAAGTGTGCTTTTCTCTCTTAAGTTTGGCGAACATCTTACGAAACACACTGTGTATATACTTAAAGGATCTTCGTCACTCTCGAGGTTCTTCGTCACGATGATGAAACGCGAGATTTCCGTCGCCGCGATGTTATCTGTTTCATTTTTATGAATCGAGGGGTTGGGAATCAGCTGTGGTTTGTCAGATGAAGATCGACTGACTAATAAGTCAGCTATAATACCAGACTCGTTAATCAAGATGCAAAATTAGATGATGCTAATCTGTGGAATCTTTTGGTTTCGCTTTGATGAATAGTGTGAAGTAAAATTTTTTTATTTTCAATCTTATTTATTTCATGAAATTAAAATACGTTTTTTATTGAATGCATAAATACGGTCATTTTTACTTTTTGTCCTAGTTATATTTTTTAAATTAATAAATATCACGATATATTAAAATCATGCGTAAAAATATTTTATGCCTCGCATGGTGCATGAATATATATATGAATATATATATAGTCATTTTCAGATATATGCTCTTTCACAATATTCAAATCCGGACGTTTCAATCTCCGCGAGATTCTGAATCGCGCTTTGCCGAGAGAGCCACAGAGAGGTGTATATCTCATGGCGAGTTGCTTTTACAACTTGCATGATGTTGATATCCCACGCAAAAGTTGTATGTAAGTACGTAGGAACGACAGCGCCTGGCGAAAGTAGGATGCACTTGGCGGGTGCTTTTCGCTTGCTCGACGTGCATGTGAGAAATGCACACCGTGAGTCGTGCGTGTGCATGTGCACGAGAGACGTGTCGTTGCGGTAATGTAGACTAGGAGGGAAATCTGTCGAGTTTAAGCACACAATTTCGCTTAATTCGATTTTTATAACGAGTATGAAACAACTTTAACGAGCTGTGACAAGCTATAAACTAAATCAATATTCACAGATTAAAGTAAAATCAGCTGAGCAAATACTTGTCTTGTTTGCAACTAATCAATGCAAACGTATCTTCTAATATTTATTTTATTCACAATAGAGGATAAATTCTTTTAAAGTTTAGAAAAATCTTAAAAATTGACATATTTATGTGTTTAAAAAAAGACATTATTCTCATTTTCTTGTAAAAAGTTAATAATATCAATCGTTAGAGAATTGATAATAGAATTCATAGGAATTCTCATTTTTCAGCACGCAATGTCAAATGACACGCAAGGTATAGTTGCTTATTTCAAAGACACATGAAATTTCAGAACCGGGCCAATGCGACTGATGCGTTTCATCGTTAAAAATCCTTCCGTCTAAGTGCGATTATTAAGTATTATGCATCATGCGGGAAAAAATTGAGGACGTCACGCACGACCCGCGTAGGACTCGGCTTGATACACGAGAAAACAAGTGAAAGTCCTTGATGGTTCTCTCTTCACTCTATTAGCGACCTCCTGCTTCGCGCATAGACGAAACGCGCCTTCTTAATTAAGCGACGATTTCTTTACAATTTGAATTGCACATCGAGTACCACTTTAATTGTGATTTCTTTTCTATAAACACCGTTATTAAGAGCGTTAATCACTTTAATGAGAATACACATTGTTATAATGAGATATCTCTACGATTTATTTGTTCGGATTTTATTTGTCTGATTATGTTCTTTCTAATTTTTACGATTTGTGCAGCGTAATATATTTGCATATTATATCTGCACCTTGTATCTTGTAGATAAAAATCAGTACACAATGCATAATATAAAATAACGATGACACAAAACGAGATTTTATTCAGATATTTAAATGATTCTCGTGATTCTGACTTAGATTAGAAGTTTATGCTAATGCCAAACGTCGCTATAATCAAAATCTTAAAATTTTTACGATTTTTAGTGACTCGGGACATTTTTTATTTTAACAGACCAGTTGGACGTTTTTTTATGCTTTATTATATGAGACGAGAGATTTTTGCTAGACGTGATCATGATACACAAGATGCAAGGACGAGTCAATATGCGATTAACTAAACCTTTTTCTCCTTATGACGGTGTAATCCGCCGATTTACATTCTCGTCTTCGAAGAAAATTATGAATATCCTTCGTGCGTACGAAACTATCGTCCATTGAACTCCATTGAGAGCGTCTTTATGGATCGGTTTAAAGACGAAGAGAAAAACCGGATCTTCGATATATCGGACCACCAAACTTTTCATTCATAAAAATTAAAAAAGAATTCTCGGAACCTTTCCTCTACAATCTTGATGAAATTTGCTGAGCTTCATAAAATAACAAAAATAATCTTTAACTTATTTATTTCTGCAAATACTAAAAGGTTGTAATAATTTTCCATAATTGTATTTGTATAATATCATATTAGGAATGAAATTTATTTTTAATTTTCAATTATTTTTTATTGTTTTGACAAATTGTGAGAACTTATGAGAAACTTTATTTTTATCTCTAATAAAAAATTTCAATTACACTGAAGTTGTGTTTGCTGTTTTGCAAATGTTGCAAGTGAATTTTATCAAGATTGGAAGAAAAAGTTTATGAATACTTTGTTCGTCTCTCCGCCTAAATAAATCTCTCTTTCTCTTTCGCTAAAGGAAAAATATGCGCACTCTTCTTGAAATCGTACGAGATCATCTCACGAAAATTGTAGACGTGACATGTGATAGCGTTTCACTCGGCGCGACTGTCGTCTCTTCTGTGCTCCAGTCTCTTTCGTCAGCTCTTTTACCGCAGATACTCTTTCAGCAATTTCGTACCAAGGTCGATTCAACTTTGAGAGATTGTGCTCGCTTGCACTTTGGCTGCAGACCACTTCGCTTGGGCGTCTTATCTGTGCCTACAGACAGGCCGACAGGCTCGTTCCTCGCGATGTCGCTCGCCGTTCTCGCGCGAGAGGTCGACGACGGTTAACACGACTGACGGCGATTAGCATCGCTCTCGCGTGTATATGACGTTGCTGCATCGCGCCATTATCCCATTTTTCAATGTATCGCGCCTTTATGCCTTCGTCCCTTTTCCTCTTCGTTGGATCTCGATCATTAGTGCGAAAATCATAAAAAATAAAATATATTCTAGACGCTTTCATATATTTCAAAGTACTAATATTTTTAAGATCGTAAGGATAAGTGAATCTTAAAATATCTTAAAAATATTTGATTTAATATATTTAGATTTTGATGTTTTTATAGAAATTTAATCGAGATTTAAATTTGTGGACCTTTAATGATAGAAAAATGAGATAAAATATATATTATTACGTATTAAATTTTATTAAAAATTTTAATAACATAGTAATATTAAACGCAAAACACAAATTAATTGCGTGATTAATCAAATAATATTGATTTAGAAATTATGTTAATCGGTGATACGTATATCACTTAGAATAATCTAAAGATGACAGCTGGTATTCAAAGTTGGCCCATCTAAGCTAGAAGCCTTTCACCTACCAGATTATCAGAGCTTCAATGATCTTCCAGATATGATAACCGAATTTATGAGATACTTGCATGAGGAATAAATATTTATGAAACTTTAATACCGTATTTAAATTCAAATTATTAAAAGATCTAATATCTCTTTGTAATATACAAGTAATAAATTCTAGTTACTGATAAGAAAGCTGAAAATAAAAAATATTTTTTAAAATACGAAATTTTATCTTCTTAATTTAAAAATATAAATGCATGTGACGTAGACATCTTAAAATATCGATACCGATTTAATCTTTGTGCCGTGTAACAAAATTTGTCATAACTGTTGCATCCATTAGCGTGTGTCCAAGTATCCATTGCGGGGACAACTCCCTTTGCGTTGTCCCTCCCTTGCGAACGCGCTCGGTGTGCAGACAGGTTCGCCGATCATTTTCCGGGCTCAAGCGCGTTTAATACGTTCCGTGACCATTAATATCATTTCAAAGCACATCGGGCCGGGTATGCCCCACGTGAGTGCGAACTGGTTTCGTTGTCGCCCGCGGCCCAGGCGGACCCTGACACTGACATCCTTCAAGGTTCCCCGCGCGTTTCGCGTTTGCCCCACAGGCCCCATCGTCGGACCGTGACATTGACTCTGAGATGGAAGCCTCGTGAATATGGTAATATCGGGACTATGCCCATCCGCGCTGCTCCACGCTGATGGCAGCGACGTTGGTGGTGATGGTGGTGGTGGTGGTGCCGGGCTGGTTGGTAATGCCGGTTATCGTTATCCTCCTCGTTCCGTTCTATCCGCATGTCTCGCCACCGGACGTTGTCGTCTTTTCCGCCGGTCGACCAGCATTTCGCGCATGACTTCGGCATTTAGGTGAATTTTTTATTAAACTCTCGTGAAGGGTAAAAAGACGCTTACGTGTATCAAATATAAATGCGAAATTACATGTAAAAGGAATATCCGACAATTCGAAATTGAAGTTTTCTTTGGTAATCACTTCGATAATAATCGAGGTATTAAATCCAGATATTAAAATAACAAGAAAGATATTTTTTTATGTTTATTATATACAGATCTCGCTAATCGGAGTTTATGTGAAAGTTCTCGGCCGAGTACAAAGAGGATAATTACGTGTTCTCCTTCCTCTCTCTTGTTAATTATTATCAATGCACCGAGTTACTCGCGTTGCGAACCTATTACCTCGCTTTAACACACGTTAACATACGTATCCCGCGTGCACTTTCACGATAATACCGTGTTATATTCTGCACAGAGTGCTAGTTGGCCGGTGCACACGCGACGCAATGCACGAAAGTCATTTCTTTCACGGGACATTTTGCTCGTGCAACGCGGCTTAAACTCCCGATACACACCTATAAACACTGTCGACGAACTTTATCTGCGATGCATCCAGGGACGGATCTATAAGCAAACTAAAACTCATGTTACAATGTTTCAATTTTGTCACATAATTCGGCAGAATAATTTTGCTTAGAAATATTTGATGATTTCCAAGTTATCGCATTTACAATAGTATTAAAAACAGTAAATCGTTTTTATGTTTAAGTTTGTAATATAAAGAAAATTTGAAACGAATGCAGCATACAAAATTTCGAATGATTTTGAAACAAGAGAGAAAATTTTATTAAATTTTTTTACAGCGAAAATCATGAAAAAAACCGCGGATGTGCGTAAAACTGAAAAATCGTATTTTTTTTAGGCCTGGTTGTACTAACGTTATTTTAGTTTTAAACGAGACTTAAACAATTATATGTCTTTATCTTTTTTCCTAAATAAATGAAGACAGACACAGTATTTAAGTCTCGCTTAAAACCAAAATAACGTTGGTGCAACCGGGCCTTAAACAAGCCCAAGCAAAACTTTTCTGAGCGTGCTCATCTCCCTGAGAAAAATTCTGTCGACATCCAGAGTCTGCAGGGTTACAAGTAAGCAAGTGCACGTATGCTCGCTCCATCTTTGACCCGTGGGCGATGTCGGGCCGTGTCTTACGTGACCGGACATACCGTGCTCGGTTTCGCACCGTAATTCGCGATGCGGCTCGTGGCCGCGCGATGGAAACGGATGGCCGCTCCTAGAAAATAAGCGACATTGGTACATGGGAGCTCGTTACGGGATACGGGAGAGAAGAAAAGAGAGAGAAATATCGCGAAAAATAAGGAACTGCCGCGAGCGGGCGAGCGAACGGCCGCGCTCTCTCGCCCTTGCTTGATCTTGCATTCAGATTTATTGGCCTTCGGAAAACTAATGGTAACTCGCTCGAGACGCACGAGGCTGCATACCAAGATTGGGAGGAAAACCGCGATAGGGTAGCTGCACCTATGAACGACCCGTCGAGCACGGTCGCTACGTTTTCTTATTTCTGCAAGGCTTGATACCGTCAGTTCTCACACGCGACTGTAAATTAAACCTATTACCTTGTTGGAGTTAATAAGAGCAAGAGAGTAGAGGTTACTATATGATGTAGTTTAGAGACATTACACGGTGTTCAATTTATTAATAGCGACACTCTCGCTCTCGCTGAATAAAGAGCGGCACGTAATTTAGATACCAAAGACACTTATTACGCGTATCCAATCGGGCATATCTTCCTCGAGCAACCGGAAGTGCACGAGCGAACACAATAAACGAAATATATCGGCGTTGTATATTCGCAACTTTACGAGATCGTATTGTATCAGATGAGAAAACTTTCTAATTACACGTCCGCGAGGAGAAGATACTAATTATGACGACGGAAATACGACTTAGGATCGCCGCGGCGAGGGTTAGAAAATCGATAAGCGCTAAGGAACGAGCGTGTCAGGCTTTCGCTTTGGGATTTATCGGCGATTAGAGAACTAGCGTTAACACGCTTGAGAGATCCCGGACGAGAGAGACAGAGAGAGAAGGGCACTTGAGGAAGGGCTCGGAAAAGCAATGCTCGGCACTCTCGGACTTTTGTTGCACGGTCGCTAGGTACGGATAATTAAGGATAATGGAGATGCCTGAGGGAAGACGGGAATAGATGAGGCATTTCCAGATGATGGAATATTATGAATAGCACCTTACCGGATACTGCATGCACGTACACACAATCGGCAAACTGGTTCTAAGTCTTACAGTATTTTCTATTCCACATTCGCTGAAATGCGTTCGGCATTCGTTTTGACATGAATGCTGCCTTGGTAAATATCGACTTGAACTATTAATCTCTAATTTAATTAAAATATTTTTAACTTGGAAATTTATCAATTTATTAGTTTATATCAATATTCGATCTCAATTAGCTTTATTTTGTTATTAAAATAAAGATCTAGGGATTCTGAAATATATCTATATAATATTAATCCTTAATATTTCCTATTATAATTTATTTCTGATGACTTTATTTCTCTTGCCAATACAATTGCTTTCGTTTTGCACTTTACTATCCGTGGAAAATCACTCTACGCTATACCAACTATCCAACTATCTAACCATCTATGATTGATTCTACAAATATTCTCACGAGTAATTTCGTGTGCAGAGCCTGTCTGCGCGTCTTCGAACGCGAAATTTCGCGACGGAGAGTAGCGCTCGTTTACTTCTCACGCAAATCATCGTGGGCATTAATCATCTGGACTTTTGTGACATGTGAGCGTAACATTGTAAATAAACGGATGGCAATAATTTACTCTACAGTGGGCAATCAATGCGCGTGCAGAGCAAATCCACCAAATGGATTTACTCTAATCGCTCTCGCGTTCCAGGAGGGGAGGATAGATACAAATTGCGATGTCTTGCGAGACGCGGGGTCGCTTGTTACACCACGTGCTCATTACCCGTAATATTACCGACTTATTACTCATACTGAGTTAAACGATGCGCGCGGCCCGATGTAATTGCGAGGGCGAGTCGAAAACTGAAAGTACTTTCGTAATCTCTTGCGCTATATAAGTTGTCAACGTCACTTCTTCGTTAATAGAATGGCAAATTGTGTGAAGTCCCTTACATTTTGATTCTTGTTTGCGGTTTTACGAAACCTCTTTATTCCGGTCCTCGTTTATGTAGCTACGTGCGATCGTCGCATACAGTGCAAATCTTCTTTCAAATATTTGATTAAATCTCGACGACCTTGTCGTTAATAGCGGAAATTTTTGACTTTGACGAGTTACGTTAACAGGAAGTCGCACCTGTATCCGTATCCGATAGGTGAGTTTCAACTTTGAATCACGGAGATCCAAGAATCGAGACTTTTTTATCATATTACACATTGCACTTAATACCTACATGCTGAATTTACCGGTTATATAATTTGAGACCAATCGTAGATAATTAATGTCTACCGTTATCTGATAGCTATCGTGTGCTAAGCTCGAATGTCGGACATCATTACTGATGTAATAGCCATGTTCATATCCACGGAAATGCTTTCTCGAAATTAGGCGTTGATCATTTGCCACTGATCTGTATGATATTATAAGTACTGATACAGATATATTTTAAACCCGAATAACTAATAAGTATAATTATCCATATTATGTGTCTCTATGAATTTTGTTGATTGCTATACATGAATATTATAATAATAATAACAATGTATCACTAATATTTAAAAGTATATTAATATAATTACATATTAATGTTAAATAATTATTATTAGATTTTATATTTTATTTTTATATTATATATATATTTATATTATTATATATATATATTTTATTATATATTATATATATTTATATATATTATATTATATATATATATTTTATATATATATTATATATATATATATATATATTTATATTATTATATAACATGGCATTTGGGGTAGCTGTTTTAAAAATTTATATTCAAGAATTTTTTTTTACTTCATTGTGCGAAATGAGGAAGTCGCGGTTAATAGCTTTTCGTTTCACAAGAGAATGACTTTATATGATCTTTCACACGAGTCGCCGCCAACTTTTGATGTGACCTCTCTGGAAGCGCGTTCCGGATGGGAAAGGGAAGTGGCACCCATATCCGGCGAAACTACTTTCAACGTCATCCACAATGCAGCCCAAAGCGTGCCCATCCTTGGTCCATTGTGTTGTTGTTCTCATTTCGAGAAACCCACTCTTTTCTTCAACGTGATTCCTCGAGTTTGCCTCGAGTCGCGATAACGGCAAATTTTTTCACTCGTCAAAGAGAACGCGATGTCGGCATTTCTGTTTTAACTGGTCACGACAATACTGTCATTGTGAGTTACATAACAAAGTATTGGTTTGAGATATGCAAATTCGTCTATACAAACGCGAGCGGAAATGAAAATGAGGACGAGGACGAGGACGTGTCTCGACGACACATTTTGCTTCTTGACATAAAAGACTTTAGCTTTTGTGTTTAATGAGTTATGTGAAAAAAAATTAATCATTTTACAAGTCGCGTGTACATTTATGAAAGATATAAATAGCGCAAGACAATCATTTGTTAAAGGAAAGTATTTTTGCGAAAAAATTAAATACAACAGTGCAGTGAACATTTATTTTTAAAACATATTTTATTAGATACATAAAATAGTCTATTATTTATATAATACTTTTAATTCTAAAAGTACCTTAAAAATAGGTGCTACGATATTTTTTGGAAGAATAGACTTCGTGTTGATCGCAAATCTGAATTTTGATTTATCCTCGTCAATCTGATAAGTCTCGAGATTAACTCACACGTCAGGATTTTTCTCTCACTGCCACCATTCGTCAAGCTTTTATGATCGAGAATGATATACGAATCGCCTCTCACGCTTTCTTCCTCTTTCTCTCGCCATTATAGCTTAACAAATAGGCTGCGATACGCGATAAAGCCAGCTGTTTATCTAGTCAGAACTCGTAACAATACTCTTCTCAGATTAAAGAAGTGATTTCTGAAGCATAATCTACAGTAGTCGGTTTTATCGAGAGAACTAGGTACCCAGCATAGTCTCTAAAGAAAGTTTAGTTCCACGATATAGATTTATTATTGGGATAAAAAATAGCTTCATCGGACTTTCATGTAACTCATAAATTACGAGATATCCGATGTGTCACGATTGAAATAAGCAGGTTAGAATAAAGATCTATTCCACGCGGAGACGAAAGGGTTAATTACGTTCCTGACATTCAGTAATCATGATATAAGTGTAAGTGTCGACATCAATAGTAAGCATTAGATGGAAAATTGTAGTTTTGATTACGAATATCGTGATTTTCTCGTTGCGAGGTGGCAATCGCATAATCGCTGGAACGGGATGAGATCATGTTTGATTAATCAGCAAGGTGCAACGCGTCACGTCTTACCAAGAAACGGCGTTAATCTCGAATATCCTGTTGTAATCCTGTGCCAATTGCACCTCTTCGATCTTTCCTAACGTGTTTAATTTTTGCAAAATTAAATAAACGATTACGTCGGATTTACAAATTTATTAT